ATAAGTTTTTAATTTTTAGTATGTCCCACTCATCTATTTTGTCTACTTTTGTTTGTATGGTTTTCAAAATGTTTTGTAGTCCGTGTATTCCCTGAATTAGTGCCCTCATATTTGTTCCTATTTTTTCATTGATGGCCTTCATAGTTCATTCACATTTAGATCCTTAATCCATGCTGAGTTGGGTTTTGTATAAGGTGTGAGGTGAAGGTCTTGTTTCAGTCTTTTGCATATCGTTTTCCAGAACAGTTTTATTTTAAAATAGAACAAACCATACAACAGTAGCTATGACAAGAGGCTAAAGTGCTTGAGTCCCTGGACAAGCTTGAATCTCCCAAGGTGAGTAGCACAGGATCTTCCTTCCCGGCGCCCCCTGGGTCAGCAGCGCTGCCTAGCATGTGAGGTCATGGTGTACATGGCATGTCGTTGACCAGGAGGGGCCTGCTCTGAAGGTCTCCTCCACAGGGCTCCCCACCATCACCCTTGCAGTGGAAGTACCACTGGCTCAGAGCTGTGGGGCCCTGGGTCTCTTCCCAGACGTCCTGGTTAATTAAGGCCGCCTCCTGGCTTGCTTCGGCAGACAGTTCCAGCACCTGGGCGAAGCTCCTGTGAACAAGACAGAACCAGTGAGCAGTGCCAGTGTCCACTACCCAGAACCCAGTGAGCGGTGCCAGTGTCCACTACCCAGAACCCAGTGACACCTGAGACCCTCCACAACAGGGAGGAAGTGGGGGAATTCACACCTACCAAGTCTTGGTATTTTCAATAACCTCATACGCATGTGAAAGTTGGATAGTGAACACATTAGGAAGACCATAGAAGAATTCATGCAGTTGAGTTATGGTGCTGGAGGAGAATACTGAAAGTACCATGGACTGCCAAAGGAGCAAACAGATCTGTGTTGAAGAAGTGCAGCCAGAGGGCTCCTTGGAGACCAGGATGGCCAGACTTTGTCTCTCAGACTTCGGACATATTGTCAGGAGGGACCAGTCATTGAAGAGGGATATCACGTTTGGTAAGGTGGAGGGTCGGAGAGAAAGAGGAAGACCCCCAGAGAGACGGATTGGCAAAGTGGCAGCATCAGTGGGCTCAAACTTAGCAACGATTATGAGGTTCCCAGGAAAATGCAATGAAACGATAATGAGAATTCTGCATAAACTTTCTCCCTCATATAATGCAATCCTGATCCAGATTATGTCATCATTCTTTACAGAGATGGAACAACGAATCACCAGCTTTATATGAAAAGGAAAGAGACCCCAGATAATTTAGGGAAAGAGAGGAACTGAGTGCAGGTGGCCAGGAGGCAGGCTTGCAGAATGTGCCTTTTGATTGTTTATGTGTTTTTGTGTACACATACCGCCCCCACCAAAGAAAAAGAGGGAATGGAAGCAAATACTGTTGAATGATGATGCACAGAGGAGATTGTAATCATTGCAATGAAACGATGGTGTAAAGATGATGTTCTCCCATGTAAACTATCACTCAGTTTTTACAATATAAAGTTAAAAGAAAAACAAAGCATTACTAGAGAAGAAGAACAAAGGCCTCTCATTCTTGAACTCAAAACCACAGGAGTCAAAACAGCCTGGTCCTGGTACAACGACAGACATAAGACAAACGGAAGAGAATTGAGAATCCAAAAGCAAATCCGTCCACGTATGGGCAGCTGATCTTTGACAAAGGGATGAAACTCATTAAGTAGGGAGTCAAGAAAAGGGTTTCTATACTTTAGTGTAGGAGGAAGGCAAAGGAAGACAATGAGAGGCGTATAAGAGCTAAAGGAACCAGAGAGAAACACACACAATCCTACAATAACTATTCTCGATGAACAATACACAGACAGACACACAGCTGAGCAGCTGTAGGAAGGAGAGTGGAATGATACCCATGATTATATACACACAGGCATGTCAGAGGCTATGTCTACATAAGCAGTTACCTATGCTGCAAACATATCCACGATACAGCACAACATACGGGGAACAGCTGTGAAAACTTCTAAGCTCTAACCAAACACCTTGAAGGAACGAGTTGTTGGGCCCGGGGGCTCAAGATCATAGTCTTAGGGGACACCAAGTCAAGTGGCATAACATGTCCATGAAGATAATGTACTTTGGTTAGTAGCAACTGGAGTCTAGCTTGAGAGTGGCCATCTAAGAAGCTATCATGGGTCTCTTCTCCCTGTCTGGAGCAAAGAAGAGCGAAGGAAATCGAAGACGCATAGAAACAATTAGTTCAGTGGCCTACTAATGGACCACGCGAACCTCAGCATCCATGACCCTGAGATGAGAACTTGATGGTGCCCAGCTACAAATACCAATAGCTCCGGAAGGAATCACATTAGAAGATCCTAAATAGAGTGGGAAAAAATGTGAAACAAAACTTAAAAGTGTAAAAAATACTAGGCTTCCTGGTCAGCTAGAGATAGTAGAACCCTCAAGACCATGGCCCTGTCACCCTTCAGGTCTGGAACTGAACTCAGCCCCGTGACTCAAGTTTCCGCCAAACAGTGGACAGGTACACTAGATGAACAATCATACTAGAAGTACCCACTCCTGGGAACAGCTGACCATTTGAGATCAAAGGGGCAGCATTTGCCCAGTGACAAAGTTCAGAAGGCAGGAGAGGTTAGGAAAAGAGGAGGAATAGAAACTGGAGGGGAAGTGGGATAAGCAACGTTACTGTGAGGGATTACAACCAATGACCTGAAACTTGCTGAGTGAAAGACTGATTTGCTCCATAAACTTTTACCCAATTCAGAATTTTAAAAAATCCACTCCCCTGCTCTCTCATTTCCTCCTGGGCTAGATGCTTGGATGTGCAACCAAATTCTTATAAAATAAAGGGCAGAAAGACACATGGAAAAAGAGAAAGAAAGAAGACTGTAGAAGTGTTTGTTGCTGTTTAGTGCCACTGAGTTAGTTCCAACTCACAGCGGCCCTGAATAACGTTTCCAAGGAGCAGCTGGTAAGTCTGAACTGCCGACCTTGAGGTTCAAACTGATCTTGAGGTCCAGTGCATTATTCTGCAGCGCCACGCCAGCACTCCACAGAAGAATTAATACATTTATATTGAAGTATTGGCAAAGAATACCATGCATGGACAGGCAGAAGAATGAACACATCAGTGTTAGAGGAAATACAACCAGAAGGTTCCTCTGAAGGGAGGATGGCAAGACACTCACCAGGAAGACATATTGCTAGAAAAGGATATCATGGCTGGTAGGGTTAATGAAAATAACGGACAACCCTCAATAAGATAAGCTGACGTGGTGGCTGCAACAGCAGGTGTAAGCATGCCAATGGCCCACAAGACAGCGTAGGACCAGGCAAGGTTTCACTCTGCAGTGTCGAACTCGGACATGAGTTGGTGCCAACTTGACAGCAACTAACAACAACCACCTAGTGCCTAGTGAAGGGCTGTCGGCAGCAAAGCAATCTCCTAACAGAACCCTAACATGAAACAGGGAAAACAGAACAAGCAGTCAGGAAAGCAAAGAAATTCAATGATTAAACAGATATTTAGGGAGTACCAAAGCTCACTCGGAAGCTCTGGGTGGGTTGAGCAGTTCTTGCGCTCAGCTGTGCTGAATGAAAGGCTAGTGCTTTGCATCTACTTGAGGTTCCCCAGAAGAAAGGCTTGTCAATTTCCCAAAACTCACTCATTGAGAACCCTGTGGAGCTCAGTTCTGCTGACACACAAGGGGCTGCCATGAATGGGAGCTGACTCGATGGCAACAAATAGCTACCACCTCCCCCACCCCGTATCCACACAGGCTGGGAAGAGAGTGGCTTGTCTGGGGGCTGTACCCTAAGGGGACTCATCCTACACCCCGATCTGCCAGAGCTGTTGGTGTCCTAGAACCCAGCTTGGCCCAAAATGGACTCGTATTCTGAAATACCTTCGGAGTTCCAAGTCTTTCTTCATGGTCACGTCCTTGAGTTCTCTCAGGAAATCCAGCGCCTTCACGCTCTCCTCTGAGTGGCTGGCCCCAAGTTCGCCCAGCAGAGAGTGTGTGGTGGCCAGCTCCTTCTGCAGGTGGTCTGGGGGAACAGAGGATCGTGAGCAGTGGGCCCCGGATGTGAGGACACTCTACATGGTCTGTGTTTCACTAGAAGGCTTGGACAGGGAAGAAATTCCTACACAGGCACCGCAGCTATCCCCTGCCTAAACTGAGGATGGCTAAGCTTGTGGGACACATGAGGCTACTATCCAATGATCACCAGGACAGACATGGAGTGAAACTCGGCATCTCCAATGGAAAAAAAGGCAAAACAAAAGCCACCCAGAAGGGGCTGGGGGTGACTATGATGCTCCCGGCCTGACCACAGGACTCAAGACAGAACTCCCTGTGCACCCCACTCCTGGCATCTCTAGCCCAGAGTGGCTGCGCTTCACTTCACTGCACTCTCCCGCCTGCCGTTTGCTCACGAGTGTCACTTCCTCTCCAGCTCCTGGCACATCAGGGCCAACTCTAAGTTAGGGTAACGCTTTGAAAACCTGGAGACCCCGAGTAATACAAATTATTAAGTACTCTGCTGCTAATGGCAAAGTTGTCACTTCGACCCCCCCCCAGAAGCACGGGAGAAAGGTCTGAAAACTCCGAACCCTCTGGAGCACAGAGTCAGAGTTGACCACATGGGGGGATCTTACAGGAGCAGTAGCAAGCCCAGCCCCTCGGACTCCCGGCTGTGGGTTCCATACTGTCCCTGGCTTCTCTCTCTCTTTCGGTGCTGGAGGAAGTTCTTGTCTTTTCAGTTCCTACTTCCGGTCCCTTGCAGCTCTCCATGCATCTTACCCCATCTCGTTTTATCTCTTTATATCGCATGAGATTGACTCAAGGCACACCCCGCACTACCTACGCCTCATGAACACAGCAGACCACCCATCCTTAAATGTGGTTACAACCAAAGAGATAGAGATTAGGATTTACACCATTTTCTGGGGGACGTAGCTCAACAACCTATAACATCGCCAAAGAGACATGTCTTCATCCTAACTCCCAGTACCCAAGAACGCGGACTCAATTTATATACATGAATACCTGCAAATGAACATCTGAGCATGATATTAGCAAACTGTATGTTGTATAACTGGGAGGGCTTCAAAAAGTTTGCGGAAAAACTCCATTATATTTTCATTTCATTTTCTATGAGCTTTTTGACGCTTACTCGTATTACTAATAATATGCACACACACACAAAGACGGTTGTTAAGTGCGGGTCATCGTAACTGGAATACATCCTAAGTTGGGGACTACCCGGATGTATTTTTACCACAGTAAAAAAATGCAGGGCTGGGTGCCGCCATCTCCTACCCAGGAACTGCTGGCTACCACCTTCCAGGTGGATGGCTGTCACTGGAAGCTCGTGCCTTGTGCAGTCCAGGGCTGTTGCGAAGGTCTTGTACTGCTCCTCGAAGCTTCCAGCCACTGTTGTGAAGGGGGTGAGCAGCTCTGCCTGCAGTAGGGAGAAGGGCTGTTACGGGAAGGCTGTTCTCCTCCCCATCCCTGCCACCTGCCCCACCCTGAACTGCCTTCTAGAATGTGCTGGGCCATGTGCCAGCATGACTAAAGCTGTCCCACGCTGACCCCCTTACCACAGGCAAGCTGTCCCATCACTCATGGGTTTCTGCATTTGAAACCAGCATTTGGTGGTTAGAGTCCCTGGGCAGTGTGAATGGTGAATGTGCTTGGCTGCTAATGGAAAAGCTGGCAGTCTGAACTCATCTAGAGGTGCTTGGAAGAATGACTGGCCAATCTACTTCTGAAGACTCAGCCACTGAAAACCCGAGGGAGTAGTTCTAGGCTAATGGGCACGAGGTGGCTATGAGTGGGAGCTGACTCAAAGCAATTAGTTAATTCATGGGAGGAGGTGGGGAAGCCAGAGGCAAAGGAGGTGCTGGGGGACTCTTGCAGTGGCCAGGGAGAGAGACCCCAAGCTACGTGCTGAGCACTGAAAAGTTGGTACCATCCAGGGTCACTCTGAGTCAGAAGCGACTCCGCGCATATAACAATAACCACCCAGGGACTCTGCATCTAGTATCCAGGTATTTATCTGTATCTGTCATCTCTGGGAAGAGCAGTGACTCCATAGGATAAGCACTGGACTACAAACTGTGAGGTTGGTAGTTCAAGCCCACCACCTGCTCTGCATGAGAAACATGAGGTTTTCTGCTCCTGCAAAGATTTTTAAAAGCCTCAGAAACCCTATTAAGGATCACAATGAGTCAGAAACAACTTGACAACACTTAACAACAACATCTGTTATCTCTACCATTCGTCTCTCAGCTTGTTAAATTGTGGTGGCTTGCATGTTGCTGTGATTCTGAAAACTATGCCACGGATATTTTAAATAACACCCATGGTGGTCACGTTTCAGCGGAGCTTCCGCACTAAGACAGACTAGGAAGGAGACACAATATTTCTGAATGGTTAGCCACTGAAAACCTTTGAACAACAGTGGAACATTGTCAGATATAACGCTGGAAGATGAGTCCCTGAGGCTGGAAGGCACTCAAAATACAACTGGGGAAGAGCTGCCTCCTCAGAGTAGAGTTGACCTAAATGACAGGACCTAAAATGTTGATATGGTACAACTCAAAATGAAAACAAACAGCTGCAATAGCCGTTAATAATTGGAATGTGGAATGTACAAGCTATGAATCTAGGGAAACTGGAAGTTGTCAAAAATGAAATAGAACGTTTAAAGAAAGACATTGTTGCTGTTAAGTTCCGTTGAATTGGTTCCGACTCATAGTGGCCCTGTGTAAAATGAGCTGGTATTAGTCATTTTGAATGGGCCAGTCATACAGTTCACTATGCCTAGAAAGGCAAACTCTAGAGGAATGGCATCACATTCATCATCAAAGAGCATTTCAAGATCGATTTTAAAGAACAATGCTGTCTGTGGAAGGATAATAACCATATCCAAGGAAGATCAGTTAATTCAACTATTAATCAAATGACACACCAACCAATAAAGTCAATAACGAAGAAACTGAAAAATTATGCCAATATCTTCAGTCTGAACTTGATCTCTATCAAGATGCATTAATAACTACTGGTGATTAAAACATGAAAGTTGGGAACAAAGAGGAAGGATCACTAGTTGGAAAATACGGTCTTGGTAATAGAAACAATGCTGGACATCACATGACAGAATTGTGCAAGACCAATGGCTTATGCTTTGCAAATACCTTTATTCAACAACATAAAAGGCAACTATACACATGAACCTCACCAAATGGAAGGCAGAAATTAAATTGTCAATTGTGGAAAGAAATGACGGAGAAGACCAATCTCATCAGCCAGGGGTCAACTGTGGAAGTTCTGGCTGAAGTTAATGAAAATTAAAGCAGGTCCACAAGAATCAAAATATGACCTTGAGTATATCCCATCTGAATTTAGATACCATCTCAAGAACAGATATGATGCATTAGACACTAATGACTGAAGACCAGAAGAGTTTTAGGATGACAGTGTTCTAAGCCTTGAGTCACAATACTAAAGGATTCTATGGGCAAAATACCGCATGAAGCAGGAAGCATCAAAAGATGGAAGTAATACACAGTCATTGTACCAAAAAGAATTGGTCGATGTTTAATCATTTCCAGAGATACCATATGATTAAGATCCGATGATATTAAAGCAGTAAGTCCAAGCTGCCCTGAGACATTGGTGAAAAACAAGGCTCCAAAAATTGATGGAAAACCAGCACTAGAGACACTCACTCGTCTATGCCAAGAAATCTGAAAGACAGCTAGCTAGCCTACTGATTGGAAAAGATCTATATTTGGGCCCATTCCAAGGAAAAGTGACCCAGCGGAATGCAGAAATCATTGAACAGTATCATTAGAATCACACACAAGCAAAATTTTGCTGAAGATAATTTAAAAACATTGACATGAGAGCTGTCAGAAATTCAAACTGGATTCAGAAGAGGGCATGGAATAAAAGGTATCACTGCTGCTATTAGCTGCATCTTGACTGAAAGCAGAGAATACCAGACAGATGCGTACTTGTGCTATATGGACTATGCAAAGGCATTTGACTGTGTGGATAACAACAAACTATGGATAACACTGTGAAGAAGGAGTATTCCAAGATATTTAATTTTGCTCAAGAAAAACCTGTACAATAGAATAAGAGAAACTGTTAGAACAGAATGGTTTAAAATCAGGAAAGGTGTGCACCAGAGTTTTATCTTTTTACCATACTTTGCTCAGCAAATAATCCAAGAAACTGGATTATATATATGAAGAAAAATGTGGCATCAAGATTGGAGGAAGACTCATTAACAATCTGCAACATGCAGATAATACAACTTTGGAAACAAAGAGGGTTTAAAATACTTATTAATGATGATCAAAGGATTATAAAAAATATCAGTATGGCATATAAAAAAGGTCAGTATGGATTATAAAGTAATGAAAATCCTCACAACTGGACCAATAAATAACACCATGATAAACAGAGAAAAGATTGCAATGGTGATAGACTTCATTCTGTTTGAAATCACAAGCAATGCTCACAGAAGCAGCAGTCAAGAATACAAATGACATATTATACTGGGCAAATCTGCTGCAAAAGACCTTTTTAGAGTGTTGAAGAGCAAAGATACCAGTTTGAGGACTAAGGTACACCTGACCCAAGCCATGGTATTTTCAATAGCCTCATATGCATGTGAAAGTTGAACAAGGAATAAGGAAGACTGTAGAAGAATTGATAAATTTGAATTAAGGTGTTGGAGAAGAATACTGAAAGTACCATGGACTACCAGAAGAACAAACAAATTTATCTTGGGAGAAGTATGGCCAGAATGCTCCGTAGAAGCAAAGACAGCAAGTCTTCATCTCTTGTACTTTGGACATGCTGTTAAGAGGGACCAGTTTCTGAAGAACATCATGCTTGGAAAAGAGGAAGACTCTCGGTAACCTCAACTGACACACTGGCGGCAGCAACAAAGAGCTCACACAGAGCAATACTGAGGATGGTGCAGGACTGGGCAGTGTTTCCTTCATTATGCATAGGGGGCTATGAGTGCGATCCGACTCCACTGCATCTGACAACACTGGCTGTCATCCATCCCCTATCTACTATCCATTTATCCACCCCTCGTCTTATCCTCCACCGACTTGTCCATCTTTCTGTCACCTGTCTGTCTTTCACTGGCTCTGCTTTCTGTAGATCCCCTAAGACACTGTAACAACTTCAACACTCAGCACAGGGAGTGCACACACGTGGAGGACACTCCTGTGAAGTGGGGGAGACCATCTCAGCCAGAGGCTTCTCCGTCAGCTGTGTTGTGTGGCACGCACACTGACCTGTGCATTCAGCATGCCCAGCAGCTCCCGAGTCCTCAGGCCGAGCACTTGTCTGGCCCGCAGCTCCTGTACCTTCTTCTGGAGCTTCTCCTGCTCCTGGCACATGGCCAACAGATTGTGTTCTGCCTTCTCCTCCAGCTGGGCAAGACTATTCTCCATCTGTGAAATGCAAAGACAGCTCAGGCTGGGGAGACAGGGCTGCCAGCCCACACCACTGTCCCCTTTCTGGCCCGCTACATGGGAACTCCACCATTTTCACCTTGACGGTCAGCAGTGTGAGGAGCAACGTCTGAGACTCCATCATGTCCATTGATTCGGACAAATCCTGAAAAACAACGGCAGACTCTCAGTTCTCAGGGTGCTGCATACTCTCTCCTTCCTCAATTCAAACACACAAAAACTTATTACGGCCCTGGGCTCAGTGAGTCTTTTCTGATGCTTTCTCAGGAGGGGTGAAGAGGTGGTGGTGGGTGGGCCGGGGAGAGCCAAGGCACCTGGTGAGTCAACCCTGACCCTCCCAGCACTGGTTCTGCCACATCCCACTGAGACCACAATCACCCCTACCAGGGACAGGATGGGACCCAGTGCCTAGCTCAGGATGACACCGGTATACTGAAAGCCCCAGTGTCATCTTTTACCTATTTCCATGTCTGCATCTAAAGCTCCTGGGTGGTATAAATGATTTGCACTCAACATTTAATCTAAAGGGTGGTAGCTTGAACCCACCCAGCAACAGCACAGAAGAAAGGTCTGGCAATCTGCTTCCATAAAGATTACAGTCATCAAATCCTTATGCGGCACTTCTATTCTCTAACACACGGGGTCGCCCAGAGTCGGAGTCAATTTGACTGCAGTAGGTTTGGTTTTGGGATTTGGTGTTTGCATCAACACTGCACGTGAGCAAATGTAAACTCCCAAAATGATCTAGGAGTGTTTGTGTTCTTGGCTTTTGCCCTGAAAGGACTGGCTGACTTGGTGTTCTCATAGAACTAGGGCCTTGGGTGGCACCAGGCAAAGGGCAGGAGCAAATTAGAGCCAGCCAACCAATTAGTAAGTTCCCTTTTCTTTTCAGACACTGGTTAGCTGCTACTGATTCAGCTCCCAGTTCATGGTGGCCCCATACATAATGCAATAAAAGGCTGCCTGTCCTACCCATTCCTCATGATGGGAGATGGAATGAACCACTGGGTTCCATAGGATTTTCGGGGCGTATTTTTAGAGTTCATTGGCCAGACCTTTCTTCCCAGGTCATCTTAGTCAGGAAGCTCTGCCGAAGCCTGTGCACTATCCCAGCAACACCTCCACTGGCAGGTGGGTGGTGGTTGTACACGGGTGCACTGTCCACAGTCGAACCCACTCTCCTATGTTGTTAAGTGCCATCCAGTCAGTTCTGACTCATAGCGACCTGTCTAGGGTTTCCGAGGAGCAGCTGGTGAGTCTGAACCGCCAACCTTGCGGTCTAGCGCCTTATGCCACAGCGCCACGCAGTCTCCTGCATGGGAGGTGAGAATTCCACCACTGAGCCGCTGCCATCCCCATCTCATGTACTTACAGGGCTCTTTTTCCGTAAAGAAGAAAATGAACTGGAATTATTTTTCTGTGTCATCGTCTTTTCCAACTGTGGAGTCTTTTTGACCATACTTTTATCTGAGATAAAGAAAAGTATCTTAATGGTAAGAAGAGTGGGCTTTAAAAGCCCAGTCAGACTCATTTCAATGCCCAGTTCATAAAAATAGGAGCGAGGCTAATCTCTTACCATTGATGGCAGAAAGATCCAGGTCTGGTGGGGCAGTTCCATGTCCTTCCAGCATCGTGGACTGCAGATCGCCCTTGGCAACCCCACTCAAATCTGTGGGCCAAGCAAGAGTTCCCCAAAATCAGCACAATCAGGCAGCGAGAACCTCTACAAGGTAGTCAAATAACACACACTTTGTATGTGCACACTGAGTATATTTTATTGAATACCAATTTTAAGAAAAATTGGTAGTACTTCCCACATGCCAACTACAAAACACTACTCACACTTCCTTGTGCAAGCCTTGCTCTTTATACAGCCCGATGGCCTTAACCTTGGTTTTCCTCTTATATGCTTCAGGAACGCCTAGCTACATTCAAAGAAATACAACATGTATTTTTTCACAATATTACCTGCTTCCAAGAACTCTACTTTTTGCTAGTGGTTTGGGCTGAGTTGTGTCCCCAAGTAAGATAAGTTGAAGTCCTAAGCCCTGTACCTGTGAATACGACCTTATTTGGGGAGATAGGTTTTTTACTGTTGCTATTTTTAAAATCAATGAACAAGGTTGTACCAGAGTACTATCAGTCCTTTCTGAGGCATGTTATAAATTATAAAGGGGCTTCAAACTGTTCATGGAAATATTCCATTATCTATTCATTCCATTGTCCCATGCACTTTCTGAAGCCCCTCGTAGAATAGGCTCAGAGACTGGGAGGCTGTCTACAAGCCAAGGAGCACCTAGGTTACAAAGGTTGAGAAAGCTAGGGAGAATCCACCCCAAGACACTGTCCTGAATTCATGCTGCTGGCCTCTAGAACACGAGGAAATACAAATCTGTCCTCTGAAGCCACCTCAGGAGGCCAAGACAGGTAGGTTACCATTCGTGTTCTAACTTTTTGAAATATCTGGAAAGACAATCAACCATCTGTTGAGAGCAGCTGCCCCCACGGTGGGGAACGGGGAACCTCTGGTGGCAATTTTCGGTTATTTCTTTTGCTATGGTGAAACACTTCATTGTGTACACATACTGCATTTCTATTCAGAAAACACATTTTCTATCCAGCCTCAGGGTGGGACCTTAACAAGCAGTCTCTGCTACACTTGTGGGTTCTCTAACACAGCATTGCTGACATTCGGGACAGGATCGCTCCCTCACTGGACCCTCTCCAGCAAGGGAAGAGGGAATTTAAGCATGACATAGTTAGTTGAAAACAAAATTGCCTTCCATAGTCGTCAGTTATGAACCGAATTATGTTCATCCAAAATCTGGGCTGTAAAATCTAACGTCTGCATCTGTGGCTACCGTCCCATTTGGGAGTGGGTTGTCAATGAGGTGAGATTAGTGTACATTGTGTTTTGAGTTAATTTCTTGCAAGATATAAAATAGATATTAAACAAATAAGCAAAGAGAGAGATGAGTCCGACAGATGCCAAGATACATGGAGATCTCCAAGAAACCAGGAAGTAGAAGCTAAAGAGACAAGGCCCTTCCTTCAGAGTCGACAGAGAGAGCGCCTTACTTTAGAGCTGGCGCTCAGACTTCGGACTTCTGGCCTCAAAAACTGTGAGAAAATTCATCTGTCTGTTAAAACCGCCGACTTGTGGCTCTTCTGTTCTGCACTAGCACTAGGTAACTCAGAATAGCGTCTTTAGTATCAAAATAGCATGCAGACCCCTCCTTACAACCGTAAACAGTTTCACACCTTCCCTCATCATACAAGGAGCTCTGGTGGCATAGTGGTTACAAATCAGGCTGCAAGCCGCAAGGCCGCCAGTTCAAAACTACCTGCTGTTCTGTGGGAGAAAGAAGAGGATTTCTGCTCCCGTAAAGATTTACAGCCTCGGAAACCCTGTACAGGGTCACTATGAGTTGAAACCGACTCCATGGCACATAACCACCAGCACCTCCATCTTACGCACCGGAAGTGCCTCTGTTTTTCTGAAGCGGGTTGGGTTTCTTTCCACCTTCCGGCATTTTCCCACTGGTTTTTAATGCATCTGCCACAGAAACCTGTTATGAGAACATGTGAGGATCAGTGAACAAGATATCATCCCTTCACGAGAAAGGCCCCGGTGTTATCTAATGCAGTTTGCTTTCTGCATTAGGAAAAAACAACACTGGCTCCAAATGAGCGCATTCCCCCCTCTGGGGGCCCATGAGTTACAGAGGGGACTGGCTCCACAAGGTAGCCAATACTGCAATCGTTACAGAAGCAGACTGCCACATTTTTCTTCTGTGGAGTGCTGGTAGGTTCAAAACACCAACTTTGGGGTTACAGCTGAGTGCTTAAGCACTGTGCCACAAGGGTTCCTTTAGCAAGTATATGGGGTCAATTAAAATTTTAGCAATGAACAATTCTGGAAATTGGAATTAACACAGCACCATATACAACAGGAGTCCCCACATGGTAAAAATCATTAATATGCTTAGTTGTTAACCAAAAGGTGCCTTGGAAGAAAGACTTGGCGATCTTCTGAAAAATCAGTCTCTGAAAGCATTAGAGTACAGTTATACTCTGACACATTTCAGCTGGCAAGAGACTCAATTGCTACTGGTATTAGTACCACATACAACAGCACTAAACCCCACAAAATAAGTAGGTTCAAACAAATCTAACAAAACATGCGTGAGATCTATACCCTAGAAACTATAAAACACTGTTGACCCAACTTCAAGATTGTGGTAGTTTTATATGCCCACTGCTTGGTCAGTCACAAGTCCAGGTGCTATTAAAGATAACTAAACCAAACCACATGCTCTTGAGTCAACGTCAACTCCCGGTGACCGCTGCATGTCAGAGTCCAAGGATATGTCACAGAATTTTCAATGGTGAATTTTTGAGAAGCACATTGCTAGTCCTTTTCCCCAAGGTGCGTCTTGAGATTAAACCAGCTGACCTTAAGTAAAACTGATCACCCTCTGTATTGGTGGTCCTTATTAAGGGATTTCTCCTAAGGTGCACTCTACTTCCAGATTATAGGTAGACATACTTCTTCTTGGAGCCTTACCTATAGACTCTGGACTAGAGGACAGTCCCTCGTAGTCAAGTGAGTCAAATCCTCAAACTAAATCTCTCTCCATATATGTGTACCTGCTGTTGTTGCTAGTTGAAATGGAAGTGATGCAGACTCATGGTGCCCTCTCTGTATGCAGAGTAGAACTGCTTGTTCCCACGGCTCTGCTCTGGATGGTTTCAAACAGGTAACAGTCAACATTTAACAATTTGTGCCACTACTGATTCCTACATCTATCTAACTGGTTCTCTAGGGAAATAGAAGACAAAGACTTACTGTAAAGTTACAGTAGACATGACATGACAGTGTGGCATTGGCACAAGACTAGGCGGACAAGGAGGAAACAAATGGAGCCACATAACGATTGATTTTCAGTGGAAGTGCAAACGCAATACAACAAGGAAAGTCATTTCAACAAATAATTTTGGAGTAGTTTAACGCCCATGTAAATTTCAATTCCTACATAACAGCACATGCAAAAAATAACTTAAAATGGATCACCAATCTAAAATGTAAAATCAAAACTATAAGACTCCTAAAAGAGAATCTCTGTGATTTGGGGCGAGACAAAGATTTCTTGGATAAAACACCAAAAGCACAAACTGATAACTTGGGCTTCATTAAAATCAAGAACTTCGGCTCTTCAAGAGATATTTAAAAGGATAGAAAAACATCAGACAGAGAGAAAAAAAAGTGCTAATCAACATAAGGGTTGGTGTCTTAGTTATAACAGAAGGAGCCCTGGCAGCATAGTAGATTATGAGCTAGACTGCTAACAGCAAGGTCAGCAGTTCGAATCTACCAGCCACTTCATGGAAGAAAGCAGAGGCTTTCTGCTCCTGGAAATCCTACACAGGGTCACTCTGAGTCAGAAACACCTTGGTGGCACAAAACCACCACCACCGCTGTAATAGAAATACCACGAGTGGAGGGCTTTAACAAACGGAAATGGATTCTCTCGGTTTAGGAGGCCACAAGGACAAATTCAGAGTGCCGGCTTCAGGGGAAGGCTTTCGCTCTGGGGACAGCTCTCTGTCGCCCTTCAGTTTCTATAGGCCCAGCATTCCTTGGAGATTTCCATGTGTCTTGGTCTCAATCTCCCTCTGGATCTAGAAGCTTCACAGTGCAGGGACTCCAGGTCCACAGTACTCCACTGCCAGGCCTTCTTTCTCCTGCTCTTCTCTGATCTTTATAAGGTGAAAGATGTTCAGGCCACAATCACGTGGAAACTTCCTTTCAATGGGTTGGCTGCTCATAGCAGATCTTATCATGGAACTACATTAGATCTCATCATGGGGAATTGTGGCTGATGTTGAGTGCCATCAAGTCGATTCTGATGCGTAGCAACCCAATGCACAAGAGAATGAAACACTACCTGGTCCTGCACTATACTCAGAATCACTGCTATGCTTTAGTCCACTGCCGCTGCCACGGTCTCAATCCATCTTGTTGGGGGTCTTCCTCTTTTTCCTGATTTTAACTTTACCAAGCATGATGTTCTTCCTGATAACATGTCCAAAGTATGAGAGACAAAGTCTCGCTATCTAACATTCTGTCTCTACTTCTTCCAACACAGATTTGTTTGTTCTCCTGGAAGATCATGGTTACTTTTAATGTTCTTCTCCAATACATAACTCAAATGCATCAACTTTGCTACAGTCTTCCTGACTCACTGTCCAACTTTCACATGCATATGAGGTTATTGAAAATACCATGGTTTGGGTCAGTCACACCTTTAATCTGCAAACTTATCTTTGCTCCTGAAAACATTAAACAAAACTTGTGCAGCAGATTTGCCTAATGCAGTATGTTGTCTGATTTCTTAACTGTTGCTTCCATGAATGTTGATAGTGGGTCCAAACAAAAGGAAGTCTTTGACAACTTCAATCTTTTTTTCCATTTATCTTGATGTTATTTATTGGTCCAATGGTGAGAATTATTGGGGTTGTTTTTTTTTTTACATTGAGGTGCAACCCATAGTGATCTTCATCAGTAAGTATTTTAAGTCCTCTTCACTTTCAGGAAGTAAGGTTGCATCATCTGCATATTGCAGGTTGTTACTGAGTCTTCCGGCAATCCTGATGCCATGTTCTTCTTCGTATGATCCAGCTTCTTGGATGATTTGCTCAGTGAATAAGTATGGTGAAAGGAGACAGCCTGCTGGATATCAGGTCAGCAACACAGCAGCTAACACGTCAGAAAACTCAAATGCAAAAGGCTATATGCTATGTAATTCAACTTAACCTTTTGGAAACGGCAAAACTATAGAGACATGAAATAGATTAGTAGTTGCCTGAGAGCTGGGAAGGGGCTGACCAAATTGAGCATGAGGTCTATGTGTAGGTTCCACAAGTACATCATAGTTCAATGTTCCAGAATTCCCATTCTTCATAAGGTTATCCAAACTTCATTATGATCTACACAGTTGTATGCCTTTGCATCGTCAATGAAACACAAGTAAGCATCTTTCTAGTTTCCTCTACCTTCAGTCAAGCTCCATCTGGCATCAACAATTTCCTTCATTCCATGCCATCTTCTGAATCCACCTGGAGTTTCTGACAGCTCCCTGCTCAGTGTTGTGAATTACTTGATATGGCTTTGTCCAGTTATATCTATTGTTGCTGTAACAGAAATACCAAAGTGGATGGCAAACAAAGAGAAATGGATTCTCTGAGTTTGTTGTTGTTAAGTACCGTCGAGTCGGTTCCAACCCACAGCAACCCTGTACAGGGTTTCCGAGGGTGTAAATCTTTACGGGAGTAGAAAGCCTCATCTTTCTCCCGCGGAGCGGCTGGTAGTTTCGAACCACTGACCTTAAGGCTCGCAGCCCGATTCGTAACCACTACGCTACCAGAGCTCCTCACAGTTTAGGAGCCTAGAAGTCCAAATTCAGAGGGCCAGCTCTAGGGAAAAGCTTTCTCTGTCAGCTCTGAGGAAAAGGCCCTGTCTCCTTTCAGCATCCTGGGAGATCTCCATGCGTCTGGGTATTAATAGTCCCCTGTACCTAGGAGCTTCCCAGTGCAGAGACCCAGGGTTAAAGGACACATTCCACTCATGGCTCTTCTTTCTGGGTGGCAGTGGGTCCCTCTTTCTCTGCAAAGGTCTCTCTTCTTTTACAAGAGAAAGGTGTTGCATGCCACACCGTTGGGAATCTCCCATACCTCTGATCAGGGTCATGGTAAGATTAAGGGTTCAAACAATTGTGAAGATGGTGCATGACCGGGCAGTGTTTCATTCTGCTGTGCAGAGGGTCACTATGAATCGGAACCAACTCTATGGCCTGTAATCCTTCTATTTGTTTATTACATCAGACCACATTATAGGGGATCATTACAAACTGCCAGTGAGAATCACGGTCTTGCCAAGCTAATCTAGTTTGGGAGGGTATAATTCACTCTATGGCAATCTAGCCAGTCTCTGTAACACTAACCGAATGACTGGTAGGACTAGAGAAAAGAGAAGTGTTTGTGGCCCATCAAGGGGAGTAGACAGCTTGCTAGTAATATAGATAAGGTCCATGTACCCACATTGGGTGGGACCATGCAAGTAGAGTATACAGATTGGTCAGGTTTGCCATCCTAGCGGGTTTAAAATGAACCATCTCAGAAGCAGAAGAAGGGCTCTCACTGCCATCCAGAAGAGCCAGGAGTGGAGCATACTCATGGAACCCCAGATCCCTGTGAACTGAACCTCCTCCACCAAGGAGACAGAGAGCTGCAACACCACAGACGGTGAGAGACGTGGCAGAAGTACCAAGAACACGAGACAGCGTGGTGGGCTTGCCTGCCCATGGAACAAGAAAGCTCCGTGCCTTTGGGAGGAAGCTTGATGGCAGAGTAGGCTGCTTCCAAGTACGCAATTGGGGAAGTGACAGGGAGCTGACTGTGCCCACAAAGCTAGAGCTGAGCGCCTTTGGGTCACGGCTTACTGGAAGAGTGGGTGCTTAGCTGCCAAAGCTACATTTGCCCAAGCAGAGCAAAAGTCAAGGGACCACGG